GATTTAGGGCACAAAGAAACAGGACATTTAGTCTGTTAGTTGACGCCAGAAGGATTCTTAAACTTTTACTCAAGGTTATCAATGCCCATCTGGTAATTTATTGGCCACAGTGTTTTCTTTCTTAAAGCTAAAAGCATGGTGAACTTTTAGTTTTTAGCTCCCTTTAACCTGACCTAATCTCTTAGCCAGGGATAGCTGAGTTATTTGTTCAGGACAAGGAGATGAGCTAAGGGTTGTTGACCAAGATGGTTTCCCACAGAGCAGGGAGCCTGCACTTAAGATCAGGCCACTTCCTCCTGCCAGTCCAGCAGTGTTCTGCAAGACAGGGATTATCAGAGCCACTGTTTTCAGTGCCCCTCTCTTTGGCAGCGAATGTAGCCTGGACTTAAAAGTTTTAGGCTTAACTCACCCTAGGGCCTGGCATCCTGGTTTCCTACATTGGACAGTTACTAGCTGCCATATGGATGCTGGGATTCAAACCCGGGTCTTCTGCAAGAACAACCAGTGTTCTTAACCATGGAGCCATCTCTCCAGCCCCTAAACTTTATTTTTAAAGGGAACTTTAAAATGACCAATCTAGGGGCCAGTGATGGCTCAAAGGGTGAGAGTGCTTGCTGACAAACCTGAGCCTGATCCCAGGGACCCACATGGTAGAAGGAGAGAACCTACTCCCACAGGTTGCCCCAGCCTCAACATGTACACAGAGATGGAGAAATGTAATGAAAAATTAAAATAAATACATAATAAATAAAATGACCAGTCTGCTTTTAGTTCTCTGTCTCTGCTTTTCTCAGCTGTTTTCTGCCTGCAAAGCCAAACTTCTTGGCCCAGTTAAGTACTTATAAGATGTTTAAAGTAAAGTGTTGCTTGATTCTGCAATTATAAGGTCTTTAAATCTTTTGTCTTTTGACGTGTGTGTGTGTGTGTGTGTGTGTGTGTGTGTGTACAATTACATATGCAATTGTATGTATGTCAGTCTGTATAAATATGTGCATATAGTTAGTTCAGTAAATCTGTCGTGTTGAATGTTGTCATAGGTAAGTACCTATATGAATTAGTATATAACAACCTTACTGAATTCAAGAGCCCCAAATTATCTTTAAATTATTTTTTATTTTCTTTGTTTTTTGAAGCAGTCTTATGTAGCCCAGGCTGGCTTTGAGTACTGATCCTCTTTCTTCTGACTCCCAAATACTGTGATTTATAAGTGTGAGCCACCATGACCAGCTCCTTGTCAAAATCCTATACCTAGTGTTTTCTTTTTGCTAATAGCTGCACCTATGGGGTGTTACATATCGGTAGATAAAGTGATTAATGACATTGTAAATTAAATCACTCATTAGTATTGATGAAGATCTGCATTTTAAAAAAAAATATTTTTATTTTGGGGCTGGAGAGATGACTGAGTGGTTAAAAGTACTTGCTGCTTGTCAGGAGTGGTGGTGCACGCCTTGAATCCCAGCACTTGGGAGGCAGAGGCAGGTGGATCTCTGTGAGTTCAAGGCCAGCCTGGTCTACATAGTGAGTTCCAGGACAGCTGGAACAAAAAGCTACAGGGAGACCCTGTCTCAAAAAGACCAAAAAAAGAAAAAAGTACTTGCTGAGGACATAAATTTGTTTGCCAACACCCATGTGTTGGATCACAACCATCTGTAATTCCAGTTCCAGGGGATCTGATGCCCTCTTCTGGACTTCTCAGGCACCTATGTGATACACATATGTGCAAGCAAACAGTCATACACATAAAATAATTAATCTTAAGGGGCTGGAGAGATGGTTCAGCGGTTAAGAGTACCAGCTACTCTTGCAGAGGACCTAGGTTTGGTTCCCAGTATCCACATGGCAGCTAACAACCATCTGTAACTCCAGTTCCAGGGGATCTGACACCCTCTTCTGACTTCTGTGGGCATTGCATGACACGGGTACACTTACATGCATGCAGACAATACATTCAATCACATAAAATAAAAATAATAAAATATTTAAAAATCTTAAAAATTTAAAGATTTTTATTTAATGTGTATGTATGTGAGTATGCACATGTGGATGTGGATATGGGTACCCTTGGAGACCAGAAAACGGTGTCAAATCCCCTGGAACTAGAGTTACAAACCCTTGTAGGCTGCCCAGTTTGGGTGCTAGGAATGAAACTCAGGTCCTCTGCTAAAGCAGTATGTGCTCTTAACCACTGACCCATCTCTCCAGCCCCAAGTCTTGTCTTGTCTTTTCTCTTCCTTTGTCTTCTTTTCATTTCTTTTTTGAGACAAGGTCTCACTATGTAGTTCTGGCTGTCCTGGTGCTCCCTTTGCAGACCAGGCAGGCCTTGAACTCACAGAGATCCACTGGCCTCTGTTTCCTGAGTGCTGGGATTAAAGGATATGCCACCACACAAGATCTGCATTTTTGTTGTTGTTTTATTTGTTTGTTTATTTGAGACAGGATCTCCCTGTAACCCCAGCTAGCCTGGAACTCACTGGTATAGACCAGGCTAGCCTCCTTCTCACAGAGATCCATGTGCCTCTATGTCCAAGTGGTAGGATTAACTAAAGATGTGCACCCAGGCAAGATCTGGGTTTGTTTGTTTGTTTTGTTTTGATTTGATTTTTGGTCTTTTTGAGACATGATCTCCCTGTAGCACCAGCTGGCTTGCAACTTGCTATGTAGACCAGGCTGGCCTCATCTCACAGAGATCCACCTGCCTCTGGATTAAAAGTATGCACTACCATACCTGGTGGCTTTTTTGTTTGTTTGTTTGTTTGTTTGTTGTTTTTTGTTTTTTGAGAAAGCGCCTTCCAGTAGTCCCAGCTGACATAGAGCTCCAGGCTGGCCTCCAACTCACAGATTTGCCTGCCTCTGCCTCCGTAATGCTGGGATTGAAGTCTTGAGCCACAATGCCTAGCAAGCTCTGCATTTTTAAGAAAAGAAAATAAATGCTTCAGTGATAAAAGATATACTTGATATATAGAGGGACAAGGTGAAGAATGAATGTTATTGTGATTAGGAGGTTAGGTGTTTGAGGGTATAATAATCTTAAAAAAATAAATGGTAATAGATTCTAGACTCTAATAACAGGATTCCAGAGAAATAGTGAATGAATGCCTTGGGCACCAAGCATCATGCTTTTTTCACTCCTGAATTGTATTCACTCAGATAATCCTGTGAGATGTAGGCATTATGCTAGACCCTTGTTTTGCACTGTTCTAGCAGAGTACTGCAGACAAGGTAATTTGTAAAGAACAGAAATGTGTGCCTCACAGTTGGAGGCTGGGAAGTCCAAGATCTAGGGCTCCCATCTGGCAAACACATTCTCTCTGTATCATCCCACAATGGAAAGGTAAAAGTAGACAAAAGAAAATGAGAGAGTGCTGTGCTGCTTCTATTGGTGGCCCTTCCAGTGTGCCCCCTCCCAGCACTGTTGTGTTTCCAGCACATTTGGGGGGCACCTTGAAGCAGCAGTGCTGTCAGCTTCAGAGGAGTGCTCTTACGTAGCCCCCAATGGAAGGGGAAAGGTCTCGTCTTATATATCGCATCTTCTTTCTCTCCTATCAGACCTTTTCCATAGAATGTTTATTGAATTTTGCATTGATGTGGAATGTTTCTGTTTTCTGGAATTATAGGCTTCTAGACTGGTAAAATCTCAGTGGTAAATTTGAGGATCTGGCCTCTCAAAAGTACCTGCCACCCTACCTATGAGTCTGCAGTGGCTGCCAGAAAAGATGGAAATTTATACAAATTGTAGCTGTTAATCTTTGGTGAAGAAAAAAAACCCTGTAACACATTTGCCTAATTATTATATGTATATTTGAATCAAAGAAATAATTCAAAATTTTAGAACATAAATTATGTGACTGACGCTGTTAGGCATTTCACATGTCTGAAATGTAATATAATTTCCACACTTTACATACATGTTGACACTAACAGAAGTAGCTCTCCCCAAATCCCACAATAGTGTGCTCAAATTAGTCTTCAAACTCATGTCTCTGTGACTCCAAAATCTAGCCCCTCCCCCAAGTACCATAATACTTCCCTTATATGGGAATTGTTTTATTTATATAGCTCTGACCCAGCAGCTTAATTGTGCAGTCAGACTTGGTTTACACTGGGGCAAGAGTACTATTCCAAAATCCTTAGATATATTACTTTAAAGTAAAATGTAGATGCTAATATTCAGGTGAAAATGGTTTTCGGCCATAAAGCATCTCTGAATTTTATAGGGCGGTAGTTTTTTTACATTGGATCCTACAGCCAACATGCATTTCCACTTCACAAAAGGATTCTAAGTCCTGTAGCCATTCTGGAAACAAACTGTAACATCTCAGAAGGGCATTTCTTCTTATGATGTTAACGCTTGCAGAGCTGTTGATGGAAGCTTGTCCATGTGAACATGCCTACTGCACCCTTATTGAGGATGGCTCCTGAAGAGCGACACCTGAGCCAGGTGTGGTGGTACATGCCTTTGATCCCAGCACCTGGGAGGCAGAGACTGGAGGATCTTTGTGAGACTGATGCCAGCTTGACTGCTGGTCTCCACATTCAGTGTACACATATGTGCATATGCACATGCACACATGCTTACACACATGTTCATACACACACACAAAATACTTTCTAAATATAAATATGGGTCTTTTATAATGAGAGGTTGAGAATTTGTGTTTGCTTGTGTCGAGCTCAGTTTGGGGAAGTAATACTTATTTCAAATATGATTGATTTCTTGATAGAAAAATAATTAATGAGGGGGCTAGAGAGATGGCTCACTGGTTAAGAGCACTGACTGTTCTTACAGAGGATCCCTGTTTTGTTTCCAGCATCCAAATTGTGGCTAACAGTCATCCGTAACTCCAGTTCCAGAGAATCTGACACCCTCTGACCTCTGAGGGCACCGCATGGTGCCCATACATAGATGCAGGCAATACACCCATACATATAAAATAAAAATAAGTAAAATATTAAACACATTTTAAAAAAGAAAATAATTAATGAATTTTTTATTTTAGGGAATGTTGTGGGCAACTTAGGACATTCTTTCTTCAGTCAAAGTTTCCTCGGCAGTAAAGAACATGGTGGATTCTTATATGTGACATCCACCTACCAGTCACTGCAAGACCTAGTACTTCCAACCCCACCTTACTTGTTTGGGATTCTCATCCAGAAATGGGAAACCCCTTGGGCCAAAGTGTTTCCCATTCGACTGATGTTGAGACTTGGAGCTGAATATCGACGTAAGTAAAAAACATTTCTAAGCCATATGGCCAAAGCATGCATGGTGATTAAATAAAGCTTGACATATCCAGACCCCCTCTGTTTAGTGATAAATTCAATAAAAATAACCTTCCTGAAAATAAGTAGGCTAAATATAACCAGCATGTGTCTTTATTTGTCTATGATGGGAAGCACTGAAAATATCAAATGAGGAAGTTGATGATAATTTATTACCTTGTGAATTTACTCTTTTATGGTTCGTTGATTAAAAACATCTTTTTAAAAAAATTAAGCTAGGTATGGTAGCACATGCCTTTAATCCCAGCATTTGGGAGGCAGAAGCAGGAGCATCTCTGTGCAATCAAGGCCATAGCAAGTTCCAGGCCAGCCAGGGATACAGGGAGACCGTTTCAAAAAAAAAAAAAAAAAAAAAGTTAGCCAGTGGAAGCCTGCTGGAAACAGGACTTCTAAAAGACAAATAAATCTGGAAGGCTGTGATACAAGGCCACTTTTGCTGGCTCTAAATGAGGTCTCCAGAACCAGAGAGCATACATCTTTTCTTAAAATCAAAGGTGTTTATGTCCAAGATAAAACTGAATTCTACTTAGGCAAGAGGTGTGCTTATGTGTATAAAGCAAAAAACAACACAGTGACTCCTGGTGGCAAACCAAACCAAACCAGAGTAATGTGGGGAAAGGTAACCTGGGCCATGGAAACAATGGCATGGTTTGTGCCAAATTCCAAAGCAACCTTCCTGCAAAGGCCATTGGACACAGAACCCATGTGATGCTGCACCCCTCACAGATTTAAACTAATGGAAAGTAGAGGAAGAAAAGTGGATTTGTAAAAAAAAAAAAGTTAGTTTGAACAAATAGCCTTATTGTTTATAGTATATCCGTAGACTATGGTCAGCGTATTTGTGATCACTTGTTTAGAAACAGTTATGGAAATCACATTTTACTTACGTTGACAAGAAGGAAATTAGTGGTATGGAGACCTGTCAGTTGTCAAGATAACCTACAATAGAAGATCTTGGTCCATGGCTGAAGCAGGACAGCTAAGCTGTAGTAGTGTATGGTTTGTTACTAAAGACTTTAAAAATTAAGTGCAAGCTTTGCTTCAGCTTTCATGTCTTCACCTACTTCACCCACCCTGTTTTAGGTCTCAAAATACTTGAGTATGGTCCTCACCTCCACCGTTTACTAGCTCTGTAACTTTAGGCAAGTAATTCAGGTTTTCTGATTTTTAGCTTTTCATTCAAATTCTCTGATTGTCAGGGGTTTTTTGGTTGTTGTTTGTTTTATTGTTTTAAGATTGATAATCTTAATGCTTGTCTCAAATATTACACTAGATTGTTTAAAGAATCAAATGCAGCAATAAATGAAACATTTTATAAACCATGAAATGGACTTCAGCTCTCAGCAAGTCACCTTTATTCTTTTGTTTGTTATTCATTGGATAAAAATTATGGTAAGACCTATCATGTATCCTGAGTCAGAATTCAGAATGGCTAAGATATGATCATGCAATCTTAGAACTCTATTTAAGGATGATGTACAGAAATTATGATTGCAGTGGTATGTTGTGTTGAAAACCAATGCTTATAAAGTTCTTGGGACCTCCAAGATGATTTTACCTTGATCAAGAATGGAGGAGCCGGATAAGAAACACTTCTTAGACAAAAAGGCTTCTAGATAGAACTCAAATCAGCAGAATGAACCAGGGAGAAAGAAGTATTGTTTACAGAGAAAGCAACATGTGTTTCTCTGTCTTGTACTAGCATTTCAAACAGGAAAGCTTGAGAGACGAGCCAGCCAGGAGTGTCACCTGGTATTTGACTTTCCTAAAGAGGTCTTGGTTAATAGGTATCAAAGAAAGAATTCTTAAATTTCTTGAGCATGGGGGAATGAGGAAGAACTTGTTTCCCGGATCATATCAATCCAGTTTGTTCATTGGATCTTGTGGGTCACTTTTGAAACAGATGCATCAAAAGACTTATTCTGGTTGTCAAAAGACTGACTCTGGCTCAGGAATATTTTTTGAACCCAAAATTTGTTAGTTACATAACTATGCAATGGTTACACATTGCGATTATATTTTAAATTATTTTAGCCATGATGTCTCTTTTCCTAGAAAATTGAGCTGCCAAACTTAGTCTGATAATTTCTCATTTCCATAGTTTACCCCTGCCCACTGTTCAGTGTCAGATTTCGGAAGCCATTATTTGGAGAGACTGGGCATACCATCATGAATCTTCTAGCAGTAAGTTGGGAATCTTCCTCTTTTTCTTTCTGGAGCTGGTGCTGGAAAAAGGAGAACAAGATTTTATTATTTTGTTGACAGCTGTGTTCCTGTTGCTTCAAGCAGGTACAAATTTATGCTGGAGGAGAAGAGAACACATACATGCTCTCAAAAACAAACGGAGCTCTGGGATAAAGTAGTACAAATTCCAACTCTGATTATATATTTTCTATTTAAGTGACCTTTCAGGACTATTGTAAGGACTAGAGGCACTGCATAAAGACCTTTCATTTTGTCTTATTTTTATTTTAGGAATGACATTTGCACTAGGTGTGGGGGCACATACTTTTAATCGCAGCACAGGGGAGCCAGAGGCAGGTGAATCTCTTGAGATCGAGACCAGTCTGATCTACGTAGTGAATTCCAGGCTGGCTGGGGATACAGGGAGACCCTGTCTTTAAAAAAAACAAAACAAAACAAAACAAAAAAACAAAAAACTAGCATTTGCTATTTCTGTAGCTCACTATTGAGCCAAAAGTTGGTCCAAGGTAATGCTCAGATAACCTCGTTCTAGTAAGGCTTCTGCTCTCATTCATGGCTCTGTGCATGAACTAGAATTTAAACTTCCATTCTTCCCTCTCTGTTGATCTCTCTCATATCTATTCTGCATATGTGCAAGGCTGAGTCTTTTGGACAAAATGTTGGTCTATTAAAGTTTTGCTGCATATATGCACAGGCTTAGGTCAATCCTGGGTATTTGGAGTATTTGTAAAGTTTTCTATAGTTATGTCACCTCCTATAACTCCTTGTTAAACTCTGACTCTGCATTTGTGTATTATCCCAAACAGGTTGGCAACCTGAGGACGGACTAGTTGTGTGTGTGTGTGTGTGTGTGTGTGTGTGTGTGTGTGTGTATTCATGTATCTAAATGTGGACATGTGCATGCCATAGTGCATGTCAGAGTACAACCACAGGTGTCAGTCTTCACCTTCCATTTCGTTTGCCTTGTTATTCACCACCATGTACACTACACTAACTGGCCCTCAAACTTCCAGGGATTCTCCTGCCTCTGCCTCCTGCCTCCCTATAGGGGCACTGGAATTACAAATACTTGGGCTTGGCCAGATTTTACTTGGAATTCAAACTCGGGTCATTATGGTTGCACAAGAAGCATTTTTACTCCTTTTTATTAGTGACTGAGATTATCATTCACCCTCCCACAGTAAGGACTAAACTTGGGGCCTCAGATATGCAAGACAAGCACTCTACCACCAATTTACATATCCAGCCCCAATCCTAGTCAATGAGATTTTTTTCCCAAAAGATTTATACAGTCTGGGGCTAGAGAGATGGTTCAGTGGTTAAGAGCACTGACTACTTTTGCAGAAAACCCAGGTTTGAAACTCAGCACCCACTTGGCAGCTAGCAACCATCAGTAACTCCAGTTTCAAGGGATCTGATGCCCTCTTCTGGCCTCTCTGGGCATTGCATGATATGGATGCACTGATTCATGTAGGCATAACAGTCATATACATAAAAAAAGATTTATATGATCTGAAAAGAAACTAGGGAATTAATTTTTATGTAGTTGGCTTCAAATTTGTGATCTTCCTGCCTCAGCCTCTAGAATATTGGGGATTACAAGCATGTACCACCAGGCGTCACTTTTTTTTAAATTTATTTATTTGTTGGGGGATGGAGGTGCTCATGCATGTGCGTGTGTGTGCATGCGTGTGTGTGTGTATGTGTGTATGTGTGTGTAGAGGCCAGAGAACAACCCTGGGTGTCATTCCTTAGGAACATCATCCACCTCATTTTCAGACAAGATCTCTCACTGGCCTAGCCCATTAGCCTAGGCTGTCTTACCAGACCCAGGAATCCTCCTTTCTCTGCCTCCTTAGCTCCCCATTTCTCCTCCTGACTTTTTAAGTGAATTCTGGACTCAGGTCTTGCTTGCAAGGTAAGCGCTTTTCTAGCCAAACTATCTCCCCAGCCCCCCAGTTACTACATTTTAACAGTGCTCTAGAACAACTAAACTATTCCAGTTAGCAAACATATTGTTTACAAACTACCTTTCTCTCATCAAGTGACCTAACAGGTATTGAGGGCATGCCTGGCAAGAAGGTCACTGACTCAACTATGTTGTTCTTACTTGAAGTTCAGTTGTTTTCATGAAAAACACTTCTGAGTGTGTTATATGCTCTTCGTCTGATTTCAGAGCACTGCAATGATTATTTCTGTAAACCATTTACCCATCTTTTAATTCCTTTGTGTGTCTCCCTATGTAGGTCATGCTACCCTTGAACTCTGGATCCTCCTGCTTCATCCTTCCAAGTGCTGAGATTACAGGCATATGCAAACCTGCCCATCACTTAATTGCTTTTGAGAAGTGGATTTTCTGATGTCTTCACTCATCGTGCTGAAAGTTGTAGTAACAGCTATCTTTTTTTTTTTTTTTTTGAGGGAGAAAGGGCTCATTTTGGCTCAGGGTTCAAGGATTCAGTCTGTCATGGTGAGGGAAGCCTTAGCACTAGGAACCGGAGGTGGCATCTGTAGTCAAGAAGCAGAGCAGAGCAAATGCTGATGCTCAGCTCGCTTTCTCCTTTAGGAAAAATCATTTTTATTTCATGTTGTGTGAGTGTTTTGCCTATGTGTATGTAAGTGCACCACATGTGTACGGTGCCCTCAGAGGCCAGGAGAAGGCATCAGATCACCTAGAACTGGAGTTACAGATGGTTGTCAGCTGCCATGTGGGTGCTGGGAACCAAACCTGAGTCCTCTGCAAGAGCAGCCAGTGTTCTTAGCCACTGAGCCACCTTTCCATCTCTTACATTCTCCTTTTTATTCAGTCCAGGACCCCAGCCATGGAATGCCTCCCACAACCTAGATAAACCTTCACAAGCGTACCCAGAGGCTAACCCAATCTAGATAATCCCTCACATGTGTACCCAGAAGCTGCCTCCTAAGGTGATTCTAGATCCTGTCAAATTGACATCCATTATTAATCTTCACACTCCTTTATTTTTAAAATCAGCTATCTTTTTTGGTCTTTTTGAGACAGGGGCTCCCTGTAGCCCCAGCTGTCCTGGAACTCACTATGTAGACCAGGCTGGCCTTGAATTCACAGGGACCTGCCTGCCTCTGCCTCCCGAGTGCTGGGATTAAAGGCGTGCACCACCATGCCCAGCTAAAATCAGCTATCTTTTAAAGACTTTTGAAAGTCAAGCGTGGTGACTCCAGCCTGTAATCCCCACCAGTTAAAAGGCTAGGCAGGAAGAGAACTACAAGTTTGTGGCCAACCTGTGGTATATAGTTCTGGGCCAGTTTGAGCTACATAGCAAAACTAGCTAAAACAACAACTAATAATAACAATGGGTGTGGTGGCACACACCTGTAAACTCAGCACTCAGGAGGGAGAGGCAGGTGGATCTCTTTGAGTTCAGGGCCAGCCTGGTCTACATATCAAGCTTCAGGTCTGCCAGGGTTACATAATGATACCCTGTCTGGAAAAAAGAAAGAAAAGAATGGTAACATAGAATGAAGAGATTTAAACATTAAGAAAAATTTGAATGTGTCTGTATTGTTACTCTCTGTGCTCCTTGTTCCTTTGTGTAACTCTGTATTCCATCAAGTGTCATCTTCCATCTTCCTGAATAATTATGACTTTTAAAATATTTTATTTTTATGTTTTGTGTATGAGTGTACTGCCTGCAGAGGACAGAGGGGCTGTCGGATCCCCTGGGCCTGGAGTTACCGACAGTTGTCAGCTGCCATGTGGGTGCTGGGATTTGAACTCAGGTCTTCTGCAAGAACAGCCAGTGTTCTTAACTGCTGAGCCATCTCTCCAGTCCCAATTGTGACTTTTTTTTTTTAATATATGAGAACATATCTTCATTAGTTTGAGGGTGGGTTTTTTTAATTATTTAATAACCACATACTTAGAAGAAGCATTTCATTATAACAGCATTGGCATATTCAATAACAATTTCCAGAGCTAAGATGCATCTCTTTCAAAATCGGCTATAAATTTTTAGGTTTACAATTGAATTATTATAGTTATACAATATTGTACTCAGTATAAACCCTGTAAGACATAAAATTAAATGAGGTTTTAACCTTTAAGAAAGATCTCCATTTCATTATTAAAATACAGTTTCATACAGAAAAATTCATTTTTAATGCAATTGACATTAAGATGTTTGCACATGCGTTTCTAATCTCTATATATCAGATTATTACTAGTCACAGTCGATTACTTTCTGAGCTCCTTTGGATCTGAGCATGGATATAAAGTTGTCAGGTAGATTTCAATAGTAATGTTTTTCGCATCTACTAATTATTAAGGAGTAAATTTTTATGCTTTGAAGAATTAGTATTTTTTATCATTTATTTTTGGTCTTTTTGAAGCAGGGTCTCCCTGTAAGCCCCGCTGGACTGCTATGTTGACCAGATTGACCTTGAACGCACAGAGATCCACCTGCCTCTGCCTCCTGAGTGCTGGGATCAAAGGCGTGGACCAGCA